TGGCAGTGCTGTTCAACTTATATCATTTCATTCACACTGATGTTTATAGAAAGATGCTTAGCCCACAGAACAAAGTTAGTCATTACATGGCACTGATATGTTATACGGCGACAAACTTGTAAGTCGATCTTATTTGCTGGTGAAGAAATTCCCATAGGAGTGTTAAAGATTATTCAAAAGCTTAAATCAATGGCTACAACTCTATATCGCCGGTTTTTCAAAAGCACCCTTCTGTAACGCTGCTGCATCCAGAAAAAATTTTGTTTTTCGCTCGCATATCACCTTCATTTTTAACATGAGTAGAAATAGCTGGAAGCACGGAAAGCATATCAGCGTGTAGAGTATTTTCCGTAGTATTGGACTCATGCGTTATCATCTAAGCTTCTCCCGAAAGGTTAAAAAAACCCTAATAAAATAACAATAGTTGCCGCCGTTGCAACGCGTAATATGATAGACCACTATTGAGTTAAGTAGTAAATCAGGTAAGTACCTTACTAACATGCCGTCGCTGTGGCCTCCCTTTACATTTTACTCAGCCGTGAGCTTTTTTCGGCGATTTTGTTTACCGGGCAACTCACGGAGAGGAGGGGCGGGCGATCTATCGCGTTTGAAATATTGTATTCAATTGAGGATTTTTTCACCGCCTCGAAAGAAACTCTAGATAAAGACTTAAGATCTGATACTACAAAACATTCTCTACAAGCTGATATGCTTTTCGTTTTTCCAGCAGTTTAGACGCATGTTAAAAATGTAAGCGAAAGGCGAGTGAGAAACAAAATATTATTTTAAGTGCTACTGCGTTGTAAAAGGCTGTTGCGAAGGAGCGGCGAAGTGCAGTTGCTGCCAGATATTTAAGCTTTCGAATTTTATTAACACTTCTATGAAAAGTTTTTGGCCAGAAAATGGGATCGGCTCAAAAATTTATCGCCGTCTAACATTTGAGTACTCAATACAATCACATGAAGGAATTCTATTCGAGGTAATAAACAACTTGTTTTTTCATTGCGCTACATGCAGAAGACAGACACTCTTCATTGACGTTACGTGGTTAAGAACTCCTTCGACAGTGCCATAAAATGAACGAGTGTTCTGGTTTGTTTGAAGACTCAGGAATGTATTGCAAAGAGTGTAAACTAAACACTTCGGTAATATCCGAAATATCCATTCAATCACTAATGACCATAGACTCAAGCATTTCGCCAAGTGTTTTTTTGGATTCTGCCATTAACTGGACGCCTACGCTCCACTTATAATTTACTATGTCTGTATACTGAATCAATATATCGGTTACTTCTTTTGGATCCTAAAAATAGAGTAATCTTTGTGCGAGAATTTAGAGACAATGTTTTGTTTACTCAGAAATACTGTAAGTTGAGGTGATATGCAAAAGAGTAGTTTTGTTGGCGTATTTTGCCTCGACTCAGCTGTGCAACGCTTTTGAATATGAAGGTCTACTTAGTGAGGAAGTTAGCACGTGACAATGGTTTAGCTTTTCGAATGTGGCAACCTTAAGACTTATATACCTAAGAGAACAGAGTAGTGGGCAAAAACGAAGCCCCAGGCAGGAATCGAACCAACGATTTATTCTATCCGGGGACGCGTGCCCTATTACTACACCACCGAGGCACATTTGCCCAAACACACATTCCTCAACATTTCTATGTTAGCTAACACCCACCAACCTTTAACAGGCCTTGTCGAGTATGCAATTTTACTCTAAAAGCCCAGTTGAGCTGACAGTCACTGTTAGATATGATACTCCAAAATTCTAGTATTTTTACTGCTTTTTTTCGCAGTATTACAATGTTACTTATATACCTAAGAAAGGCGCTTAGATGTCGCCTTCCACATATAAGCTCCTTTCGCTCCTCCGAGAGAGACTAGCAAGCTACTCGTGAGTACCCAGCCTCCACGTTTAGAGCCTGGCAAGCTATCCGTTGGGTATCAAAATGCCAAAAACAGCAACAAATATAGGCCTCATTTCCCTGACCCCGAAAGAACCCTTGGTACGGCAGCGCCAGGCAGGACGAGTACGGAGAGGCTGCTAAAGTCTCAGGGCGCCGAACTAGGCTGCCAAGATCGAAACGGACTATAATGATGATCTGTACCTACAACGCAAGAACCCTTGATCACGAATCCGCTGTAGAAGATCTATTGATTTAAGCAAGAAGAATAAGGCACGACGTCATTGGCCTGGCTTAGACGAGAAGGCGCCATCCTTTTCACCATGTTTATGACAGCGGAGAAGAACTGTTCCTTGGTACATGCGATCGCAGAGGTGTCGGCGGCGTTGGCGTCCTCGTCAAAACGAATTTTACCGTAAACATCGATTCGTTCGAACAATTCACAGCCCGTATCGGACGATTACGGTTCAAACGATGTGGTTTTATGCCGGCTTTGACCATCTTCGTTGCTTACGCAGCAGCATTAAGCTATGACGAAGACGAAGTCGAGGCGTTTTATATGGACGTCGAAAAATTCTTCAGAGAAGATCATACATTCTTCAAGGTCATTGTCGGATATTTTAACGCAAAAATCGGACCTAGAAGAACGTCTGAAGAACGTCACATAGGGACCCACGGACTAGAATGGAATGAACAGGGTGAGAGGCTATCTGAGTTTATCATGACGACCCAAACCATCCATGGTAACTCGCAATTCCAGAAGCCTCTTTCTTAGCGATGGACGTGGGAGTCTCTCAATGGAGAGTGCCATTACAAAATAGATTACATCTTAGTAAATCGAAGGTTTTGCCTGACCGATGTCGCTGTTGTTTCCAAGTTCTACACGGTATCAGACCATCACCTCCTTCGCGCAGCGTTCCGTTTTTCGATGAGAGGAGAGAAAGCTGCTAAATTCAATCAACGAAGTCCCAGAACTACCATAGTGGGATGTAATCGAATCAATAGTCGGCTCTTGGGAAGATGCCGTTGTCGACAACATCGACGAAGATTATGATCGACTTGTTGAATATCTTCACGTTAGCACTATGAAAGCAGACATTCCTCAGGTCACGAAGACACGCTTGTCTCCGCAGACACTCGAGCTGATACGTCAACGTGGAATCGCACGAGCTGCAGGCAACCAAAACCTTACGTCCGAACTTGCGAAATGCTGCAGAGAAGCGATAAAGGAAGACCTCAAAGAGAGAAGATCAGCAGTTATGGCAGAAGTTGCAGAAGCTGGGAAGAGCATTCGCAAAGCCCAACGAGACTTCGCCAACTATAAGACCATGATGATTGCACTCCGATACCCTGACGGAACACTTACAGTTCTGAGAAGGGCTATGGAGAAAATCATTCACCAATACTACTTGGATCTCTTTGCTAGCCATGTCTTTTACCGTCATATAAATTGAAGGAGGACGAAAATGTCGTTCCACCAGTCCTCCCCTCCGAAATCCGACATGCTGTATCGTCGATGAAGAACAGAACAACACCCTGTTCAGACAGGATTAGACCAGAACACCTGAAAAACCTACCACCATTTCTCATCAACACCCTGGCTGGGCTCTTCACTCACTACCTGTCAGAATGCAAGGCCCGTATTTAATGGAAAACCAGCAAGACCGTATTGTTGTTCAAAAAGGGAGACCTTCACGACATAGGCAATAATCGCCCAATCTGCTTGCTGTCCGTTGTCTATAAACTTTTTACTCGAGTCATCCTAAACAGGATTGACAGAACACTGGGCAAAGGACAGCCATGCGAACAAACAGGGTTCCGAAAAAAATTTAGCACCATAGACCACATCCACACGATTACAAGACTCACTGAAGTTTCACGAGAGTGCAAGCAACCACTCTGTCTCACTTTTATCGATCTGAAGAAAGCCTTCGATTCAGTGGAAACAGAAGCGGTTATAGAGGCTCTGGTCAACCAGGGCGTCCCTACTCGGTACCTAATGATTCTTCGTAAGCTTTATAAGGATTTCACTACCAAAATATCTCCATTCTGCAACAATATCACCATTGACGTAAGAAGAGGAGTTCGACAAGGCGATACAACTTCGCCAAAACTATTCACTGCCACCCTACAAAACGTCATGCGAACATGAGATGGGACGATATGGGGTGAGAATTGACGGTCGACAATTAATCTATCTTCGCCTTGCTGATAACATCGTTCTCATAATACCAAACATCAGTCAAGCGGAACGAATGTTGACCGATTTCGATAACGCCTGTGGAAAGATTAGTCTTCAACTAAATCTAACGGAAACGATGTTCGTGAGGATCGATGGGTTTTGAATGCCTCATTCACGCTCAACGGAACGACAATCTCCGAATGCTCCATTACGTCTATTTAGGTCGTGAAATCAAAATGATTAACGACCTAGATGCAGAGTTGAGCAGGAGGGAACGAGCGGCTTGGGGAACGTTCAAGAGCATTGAAGATGTAGTGGAGAGGACAAAAAACATCTGACTCCTTGCCCACCTTTTCGACTCGACAATTATCCCTGCCCTAACGTATGCAGCAGAAACCAGGTCGCTACGTAAGCAGGATGAAAGATCACTTGGCGTTATCGATCGCGCAGTCGAAAGGTCGATGCTATGAGTATCCCGTATCTCACAAATGAGAGAAAGGATCCGAAGTTCCGACTTACGTCAACGATCGAAAATCAGAGACGCCGTTCTACACGCCAGGATATCGAAAATAATGTGGGACGGACACGTGATGCGCTTCAACGACAACCGATGAACGAGAGCCGTTACCAACTGGATTTCTCGGGACGTCAAGCGCTCTAAAGGAAGACCACTGACCATAGAAGAAAGATATGATGCTCAGCGAATCCCTAGAGCGAGGAGGACCCACTGGGCTACTCGAGCACGCGATAGGGAAAAATGCTGGTACCCGCTCGAGTCACTCGACGATCAAAGGGCGAAGGTGATACAGGTGATACATAAGAGAATTGAGTGATGAGCAAAAACTAAACCTTTTAAAGGTTGGTGGCTGATAGCTAACATAGTAATGTTGAAGTATGAGAGATCGGGCAAACGTGCCTCGGTGGTGTAGTGGTAGAGCACGTTTCTGCGGATAGGATAAAACACGGGTTCGATTCTCGCCTGAGGCAGTGTTCTTACTCTCCCCTCAATTCTCTTAGCTAAACAAGTAGCATCATAACACTGCGAAAAAAAGCAGTAAAAGTACTAGAATTTCGGGATATTTAATATTAGGACTACTGATTGGGATATGGCAAAGAATGCAGGAACAGAGAACCTTTAAGAATTGCCGCGGTCGCTAGCTGATTATGATTGACTCTGAACAGTTTTGCATGGACGTAGAACAATTTTGAATATAGATCAATTCAATTAAGTATAATGACAACGAAGCAGAAGATAGGAACGAATGATGGCAGTTTAGAGACGTTGGAAGGACTTTTGACAGTATTTTAAAGACCTCGACTACGGGGTTTTGGCAGGGCTTATACACGGAGATGAAGACTAGGAGTTTTACCTAATAGAATGCTATTTCTCTACAACATTCAGATTTCCAAGCCATTAGATATCCAGATAAGTTTTCAGTGGGAATAATGGTCAAACATATTCTCTACTTGAACACTATTTTCTTATATTCAATCTGTTTCCCATGCGATCAATACTGAGATTTGGTCGGAATGAGAACGGCCTACTAAGATTAGTCAGTTTAAGAATGTCATATTCTATAAACTCACAAAAATTACAATTACACAAATATCATATTCTGTACAATTATAGAAAAGCACATAGGCTTTCCATTGATTTCTGTTGAATTTTTCTCAAAGTTGTTCTCGACTTTCGTTCAGGGTCTGCTTCGTACTTGATATAGATGGATATCCTTCGAAGATCTATGAAACAGTATTCATCTTCCACAATAGGAAATTTTAAAATAATCTTATTTTTCTTTTTTGGATTGCCAGCATTGTTATTCATTTTTCATCATTAGAAAAGCCGTAACATTAAAAATGTTGAATTTCTTTCTAGAAAATGGCAATACAAACATTCAAACAATATCTCAGAGAAGATCCTACCTCAACTTAGCTATTCCTATTTAAGAAATTCCTTAAAATTAAGTGTGACACATAGTTCTCTATTATTGCAGGTCTACTGTCCATACTTCTTCACCCTAATTACGGTCTCCATCTCAGTATTTTTGAATCGATAATAATAAGTATACTGAAAGCAGGAAAGTGTTGATTAGCATTCTTTATAGCATATTCCATCAAACTCTATTCGTTTATTGTTATTAGAGCAACAGCTGCTAATGGTTCCTGATGTGCGAATTAGAGAGGCAAAACCTGTGGCCTTAAACACGATCTCATATTTATCTAAATGTTTGGTGGACAGATGTATGGCTAATGTAACATGAAGTATTCAGTGAAGACAACTTGCTACAGCAAATTTCACCCTTTGGTGTAATACATATTTCTATTATTAGTCATACGCATAGCGATACGTCAAACTGGTTTGATTGAGAACTCTCTTGACTTTCAAAACCCAACGCCATTTTCAACAAAGGAAGCACCAACCAACTGAAGTGCCAATAATTTTAGTCAATTACTTTTTGAGGTACATGAAGGACCAAAGCTCTACTTTGCAATCATAAAATCATATCGAAATGTGCAATCTAGGCAAGTACAGTGTTGGTGCAAAAGTATTAGCGATTCAGGATTTCACGTCTTACGATAACGTGTTTTTTTTTTCAGCATATTCCAATAACAGACGTTAGCCTTTGGCAATGCACAAATCGCAGATGCTTTTGCATGCATAATACATCAATCTTGTAAGCTATTCAATCACAAGAACATGCAATTTCAAGAACAAGAACAGTTATCAAATCACAAGAACTATAACACATGAACCTTGTAACTTATTCAATCACATGAATGCTGAAATATGTGAGAAATTTTGGAACCTGGTGGATGTGTAGTGGATTCAATCCACGACTACTGTTTCCGCGGTGCGTTCGTTTGCACTGTACCATTAAAGCCATCGCTCTGTTTTTCGCCAAAAAAATAATTACCCTTGAAAGAAAGTCAATGTTTGTAGGTGATATTTGTTCAGCACTTTTTCGCAGTTTGTCTAAGCAGAGTCTTTGCACTATGTAGTCTTGCACTCAAGAAGTAGATTCTTTCACATTCAAGAGGTAGAGATGTCTGGGCTGCTGCAATTACTTCAGTGCTTTTCTTTAACAATATCGCAACAGCATTTGAAGAATATTTCAGTATGCGCAGCCACTTGAATGGTTCGCAGGCTTTCAGCCTCTTCTACTCACTCTTCCCCACGGGAAATCGACCAAGTCCGTTCACTGGGTCTCGCTTCGAGATCATAAACGTCAAGTCAGTCATAAAACCCTTTATAAATTTGATGGCTTTTGCAAATAACAGATACGACCTGCGTAAAAATATAAAAAGAGTAGAACGTTGACTTCTAGAAATATTCAACATCCCGGTTCACGCTATACAACTTATATTAATCTATTGAAGTCACAATTAGTTTATGAGCAGAAATCAAGGTAGCTTTATCATGTAAAGGAAACGGTGGCCTCGGTTCTATTACCTAACGGTCCAGCATTTCAAATACCAAGCGTTGTCACTCTTCGTGGACTCTCTCCGAATGGAGTCTATAATATCAGCTCAGGTCCAATCCGGGTAAGAATGCTACTTTTTCCCTATTTTTCTTATAAAAGTGTTTTTTATTTTAGGTCATCGATATCAAAACATTGGAAATCAGTAATTTCTCGTTAAGAAGCGGTAATAATGCAGTCTGGTTTTTGATCGGAAAAGATATATTGCCTAATGCCAACGGTCAAATAGTCCCACTCTATGATTCGTATGTTATTAACTATTCTAAATTCTCAGTGGAATTAGTATCGAAATCAAACAAAGTCTAGTAAATTGAACAATGAGCGTGGTATAATTGAGTGATCAGATGGTGCACAGTCATTTTTCGACATAATCTCAACAATTAAAGAGTTCACCTTCCTGTTTTGAGTTTTCTTTGTTTTCATTGCATTTGTAAGTGTTTCGGCAGAATGGGTTGTTTGTAAGGTTTCGTGTTCTTTACCAGCCATGAGCAGTCGACTGCACAACGGTGTGTTCAGTGATAATTTCACCACACAAAGCGTGTGAAATGTTCGTCGTCTCTAATTTTTTGTGTGGGAAGCGGAGCACCTACAGAGGATTGGCAAAAGAAGAAAGGATACCGCCCGACTAACGAGACCGTCAAGGACGAAGCACGTGTACCGGGCTCTATAAGTTAGCCCATTTTAACAGACCACATGATATGCGTGACTCAGAAATGTTTATTTGGCATATTGAAATTTGGCTGTGGTCTTGAGAAAACTTGAAAAGAAAAGTCCTTAACTTTTTGCTTCTAGGCTCAGGCGTCGCGTCAGAGTTTTCCTGAAGTCCAAAAATTCTTTTTACAGGGCGTTTACACGTGTAGGAGAAAGAATAAGTTAATTCCGAACAAGTTCACTACTATTTTTTCGACTGTGGGGGGACGAGAAGTTTGATGGGCAGAGACGACGTTTAACCATCGCCTGGGTTTGTTGGACCGTTGGCTCAATGAACGGAAACACTACTGCGCCAACCGTTTTTTACATGTTACCTACACGGAATTTTAGGATTGCTCAGATTATGAGAGCGCTTATGATGTTTTTCCTAAACCGAGCTTCATCTGACCTTCTCGATACCAATGAATAAGAGCTTTTTATGGTCAATCGATTACACCTTCAGAGAAAATGATTCTAGTCAACTGATAACTGTAGGCAATCGAATCGATTCATCGTCTCTGAAGAGGATGAAGACGTCAAAACGTTAACCAATTAAATCTTATTCACCCACCCCATGTCTTAGCTAAATCATGAAAGAAGCTATGACTGGAAAGAGCTCGGGTTTTCTGATCAACTAAGTTTCTCTATCAAAGCAGTTCAGTACCAGACTTGTTCGATATGAAGAATATAGTAAGTTCGTATTTCGATAGGCAACTTCAACTCATAAGTCAAAGATGCATCTGTCTGGTTTGTTACGAATGGAACTGAATACGTGAAACGTCCATATGGATCAACGAAAAGCATTTGTAATGGAAATTACAAAAATAACCTATTGTTAAATTTATTTGAGAAAAGTTTAAGCAAGAGAATCTTATTTATTTCAGTGTCATTGCTATGAACAGAGACGGCACAGAGGGCATTGATGCTTGACGTATAAAGATACAAAAATCTTCAACATTTTCCTTTCCGACTTTAAAAAAAACATTTCAGGAACTTTAAGTTGTTTGATTGTGAGTCATTACGTGACTATTATAATGAAACCGTGCACTTACGATTACCTGGAAATCTTGACATCAAAGATGTCTTCTGGTTTTCCGGTTAGTGACAACCTTTTTCAGTGACAATATCTTTATATTAATATTGTATTATTCAGTGTTTTCTATCGCGGAATCAGTTTCGTACTCACATATCTATTTGCCGTACAACGATATGCAACTGCCACCAGATCTCAACGGCTTACCGGTGAAATATTCATTTGCTTGATAATTTAAGAAAATTTGCAATTGAAAAAAGCGGTCATCTTGTCAATAGATTTCAGTTCAGTAGCAAGTTATTCAACACAGTTTATCATAAATAAGAAGATAACGACCTACTTCTGATCACTATTCCCTAAAAGGAAAATTTCTGTGTTAATTAGGACTATTGAACATTTTCTAATCGATAGACATTACTCGATTTATCACACATCCGATAGATTGTACACTTTGATAGTATTGGAAATTCTGTCATACCTTGCAAAAATCATCTATTAATTATTTATTTATGCAACTTATATTACATCGACTGTGTGCAGGTCTCAGAACTTATTGCATTATCCTCGCATTCATCTTCCACAAAGGTCTCCGGACATTTCGCGTGCTGTTCTGGTTGCTGCTTGAGAATTTATCTCCACTATAAGATGTCGTAGAAGGCTGGTAGAGTCTATTGTCCTTGCAGTTATGGAGATAGCCGAGTTAACGCGTTCTCTTGTGGTTTCGAGGAGAGCGTTGGGAGAGGGAATGGAACAAGTATTCTGTTTCCTAAAAGGCTGCATCACTA